TTATTTAATTATCTTTTCCCGTGCTTTAATAATTATCAAATAGCCAAGTATAAAAATTATTGAAGCCTGTGACATTTTTAATTTATTACTTTTCCACTGAAGAAGATTTCTTTTGAAATTCCCACATCGCACGAATAAGTTTTATTGCACTCGTCTGCCATTTGTTGTCTTTCAATTAAAAAATAATACCATGATCATCGTATCAATTAAATTCGCCTAATGAGTGTGCAAGAGCTAATGGGCTTATAGATTTATTGCACGCCCATAAATTTTATTTTTATTAAATTACTCGTTGCACACATGTGAACAATAGAGATTTCAGGTGAATACATGTAAACGACTTTGTAAATAGTGAAGTACGATCACAAGATTGGGAATCTTGTAATTTTTTTTAAACACAATTTGATATGGTGAAACAATCACATTTTGAATTGCATTCAAGGTGCAGTTCATTGTAGTATGTACTAACTTTGTCTTGTATAAAGATTTGTTAGGATTTTTTGTGCAGTATGACAAAGTAGGTCGAAAATGGCCAATTTATAGGTTCTATTCTAAAAGTCTAAATGATAATCCATTGCATTGATATTTTTTTACCCTACCTATATATGCCATAATTATTCACCTATGCAATATATAAAATGCAGATGTGATTTTGATTCCTAAAAAGTAAGTTGCTCTCTAATTACAAAACATACATATTTTTTAACTTCCTGTAGGGTAAATTATTGTAATTGTCCAAAATTTAAAATTTTTTTTTTTACTTTTCAGAGGTTTCTGAACATTTGCATACCCCAGACAAAATTGATGTATGTATGTGTGTGTGTTTATACATATATGTCTATGTATGTATTATATATTGAATTGCTAAAATATAATTCGAATCATCATCAATAAAATTAAAACAAATTATTAAAATAATTATTCTCGTTTAGAGCATACTTTTATAAAAATATAACTTGATTGCTCAGAATCAGGTTTCTACAAGATCTCATTACAGCGGAATATAAATTATAATTTTTTATTCGTTAAAATTAATTAACTTTTAATTGCGTTATATATGTATATATAATAAATGTAATACTTTCAAGAATGTATATTTCTACACAAGTACGAATAAATTATTTGTGTGTGTCAGTAACGTGCAATGATTAAAAATCTAAGCGAAATTCTCAAAATATAATTATTAAAGGAAGTATGTGTTTCATGTTAACATATATTAATTTACCGCGCATGGTACTAGAATTTAATTACATATATACAATTGCATTAATAGTCTGAAACGTTATTTAAAAAAAAAAAAATTTTATATGTAATTTTATCCGTAAATGATGTATAATTTACGGCGGGGCATAAAGGTCCAATTTGACTTTGTGCAATTATAATGTTGAAAACAAAACCAAACAAAAAACATACTATTATATAAATAACAGTAATAAATAAATAAAAAAAAAATCTGCACGTTTCAACCCAATAGTGTTGCCAATTATTCAGCAGGTCTTACCAAGAAGAACATTGGTTTTTATACTTAACATAATTTTTTTAAAATGGCTTTTAGTATTTTGATTTTTGTTTTTAATTGTTATGGTTTTGTGTTCACCGTCGAACTAAAATTAATAAAAAAAATCAACTCGTTTCGCAGCATGAACTGTTGAATGATGACACAAATCTAGTATCGAAACGTACAGGATAAATATCATTCATTATTTATTGTATTTTTATTTTTGACTTGGCTAACTAACATTTTAAAAATATTTTTATTATTCACGTTATATATACGAGTAGATAATGAATTCATATATCGAGAATGTATTAGCAAAGAGAACCTCACAAACAGATTTATTCTTCTCGGATTTTGATTGAAATTTTGCATGAGAATAGAGTTGATAATCAAATCAAACACCTAAAAATATTATAGGCATATAAGAAGTAGTTCAATTATTCTTTCTCAAAGCAGATGCTTTCATAACCTAAAAATGTATATTTTTTAATTAAAATGACTTTTTTTAATTTAATTGTTTGTTTTTTTCCCCTAACGGTGAGACAGATTTTGTTTTTGCAACTGTGTCATTGTGTTATAATTTAAAATCTAAAATATGGAAAACTAAATTAGCATTATGTGTTATCCGTTACAAGTCGTTCAATATACTGCCTACTGCCCAACGATCGTCGGAGTCTGAATTCTCTATTCAAGGTCAAGTGGTAAGTCATGCAATATCAAATAGGAAAGAGAAGGAATAGGGCCCAGTTGAAAAATAGATGTCGCTAGGAAAAAAAAAAATTATGAAAGGAGACTTTGATCAATTTTCTGTTAAACTATGAAAAATCATGTAAGACTAAACAATAAATTAGTTAGCTCGTATCGATGTAACTTGAAAATTAATTAATCTTTAAAGTGGGACATTATCAATAAAAACAAGTTTTTTTAATACGTCCATGGTAAATAAAATTTAAATAGTCTTTACTAGATTTAGGTTTGTTAGGTAAGATATATTTATAAGCTCCATAGAGCATTTAGCCACCTACTGAACTTCTTTTGATTTTAAATTCTCTAAAGATAGTTAAATATGAATTCTATTTAATGTTTTTGTACAACTGAAATTTTTACTCCATGTTACTCCTTTCTTGAAACCGCTAGTGCCTAGTGTTTTTTTTGTTATTTTTTGTACATTTTGCTTCATTTTACTATATCCTATATCTTGTCTTATATATTTAAGCACAATTAAATTAAATATATTCTATATCCTGTCTTGTATGGACTCGGCCGGTTGTTCAAGCCCTCGCTCTGGACAATCTGATATTGTGTAGTAGCGATTTTCATTTTGGCTCAGATCAAAAATAGTTTCCAATTGAAAACAGCCAATATGCAATTTTCACACTGTTCTTCCCTGAATCGAGTTAGAGTTTATTTCAGCTCACGGACTTGCCCTAGGGAAGTACTACCAGTACTACCCTTTATTAATTTTTACTGCACAAGTAAGGCGTGGTATACCTATTCAAAATTTAGTGAAAAATATTTAAAAAAAAATATAAAAAGATTGACTATGCTCTTGAAAATTGTTTTTTTTAACCAATTTAACTGTAGTAAATGTATCTATTAATGGTGATTTTTTAATTTCCGTCCTCCTTCTACGCGAAACGATACTGTGTCGCTTTTGATATAATTACGCGCGTTTTGTATGTCGGGCAAATGATTTCACAGAAATTAAATGCTAATTAACTCTAACGAAATAAATAATTAGCTATCCCCCGCGGCCGAACGTGTTCTGGTTCGGCCAGGTATTTATATTTTAATTTAATTAGCGTCATAATTCGTGCCCGACTCTGCGTGCGCACGATATCAACGTTTCATTATTATTGTATCATAAATACAATATATGAATCCATCGTGGAACAAGTATTATTTCGTTACGTAATTATCTAACACATATTGCGGGTAATTAGGAATAAATTATATTAGTTTTATGGGCTCAGCTGATGGGAGTAGATCCGACTCTTTTTCGGTGATTATAATGGTTATATGGTTCAATACAGACGTTTATCAGAAACATTCTCATTATTCTATAAGATTTTATGTGATAAATTATTTACTCCCTATCTTTGTGAAAAGGCGAACCAGTGGTTGTCCTTTGCTTTTTGATGGGATTTTTAAAACTTTGGTAGCCCAGTCAAAATAAACCCAAAAAAGTCGTAATTTTACAGTTATTCGCATAGAGCTGAAAGTTGGTACAGATGTTCAATAAAACTCAGGCATGATGATCTGAATGTGCTATATATCAACGACTTTATAAAAACAAGATTCACTTATCATGAGAAAATCAACCCAATTTACCCATTGCTGCTCGAATTTTCTATAAATTTTGACTTTTTTCAGTAAAATGTCAAAATTTCAGTAAAATGGAAAATTTCAGTTTCTGTAAAATGTTTGAAATTTATAAAAATTATATATTTATATTTTAAATTTATTTCTCAAAATTTCCTATAACCTAAGTTGGATATATATGCACACGATGAGCCAATAAAATTTAAAATCAGTAGTTTGGGCGTCCATCGCGAACCAACATCGCGACACGAGGCTTATATAAAATATATAATATATAATATATAAAATATGAGATATATATATATATATATATATATATATATATAGATATATATATATATATATATATATATATACGAGTATATATATATATATATATATATATATAGATATAAAATTATAAGTTCTTGCCCTACGGGCAGTTATAGTAATCGCAAAAAATCGAAAATGAAAATTTTTACGTTTCAAAGGTTTCTGAATATTTTGGCATACCTTAGAAAAAATGGATGTATGTGTGTGTGCGTGTATGTGTGTGTGCGGATACAAATTTTCGTCGACGATTTCGGGAACACCGATCAACCGATTTGATAATTCAAAAAACATTCGATTCGCATTGATAAAGAGACGTGCTGATTAGTTTTTGGCGAAGGCAGGTCTAGCCGTTCCAAAGACACGGGGCAAAAAGTGCGAAAAATAGTAACTCAGTAAATTGATATTACTTAGTGATATTATTATAATTAATGCAATCGAGCAATTTATTTATGCGGTTATTATCAATAGAAATTTTTCATCCGATCAATTTTATGGTATATCTATCTAAGGTCATATTGAAGTCTATTTCGAGATCTTTTGTTTACGAATTCTAAGAAAACCTATTTGCTTGAATTGATTGATATATTTATGACCGTTGATCAATTTGATTAATAATTCGATTCTAA